AGATCATCGATAACATCAACAGATAATCGATTGTTTTGCAAAAGTGTAATGTTAAAGGATCCTGACCATTTCCTTTAGTTACCTTTTCCCCTGTAACAGAACCTTTACTTTGAAAATTAGGAATTTCCTGACCTTTCACTGACCCCAGAATACGTGTTGGTGTTTGTCAGCTGGAGTGACAGAAACACTGACAGACTCGTGGCTTTAAATGCGAGCGGGTTAGCGTCAGTCTTATAATCATAATTAACCACAAATATATATTTTAACACAAAAGGAGTGAAATGACGAATCAGGTGAACGCCTGCACACTCAGGTGATCCTCTGACCGACCAGCTGTTTGCTGAAGTGCTGCTTAATCTGCTTCCTCTGGCTGTCGTACTTTTCCTCATAATGAATCTTTAACCTTTCAGAAAGTGGGAAAACAGCAGCAACTTGAACCGTCTTCTGAAGTAAATTTGTTAAAACGTTCCAGGTCGTATTTATTCTCCATCAGATCGCGTTCATACGCAGAGATGAGCGTCTCCGCAGGTCCGTAGCCCTCCCAGTCTCACCAGGTGGATCCTGGGTGGGGGAGGCGACCCTCAGAGCTCGTGACGACATCCGTTCCTCATCATGGACTTCTTCAGCTTGGCGAGCGCGGCGCTCAGCTGGTACTCGATCCGTCTGATGTTGTTTATGAGCTCTGCGTCATCATTCGTGAGCATCACGCATTCAGACACTCGTCAATCTGATCCCACACCTCAGACGCCCCGCAGAGCCTCCTCTGTGCTCTCTGAGCTTGATGTCGATGAAGATGGTGAAGGCCAGCGCTCCGAGCCCCGCCAGCTTGACGCTACCGCCAGCTTGACGCTACCGCCAGCTTCTCAGCGAGATCCGTGAGCCAACCATCAACGGCTCTGCTCTTTGGTCTTGCTGCTCGAGGGCATAACTATGGCTTCATCCACCATCAAATCTGGATGTTTCACGCACGTCTTCATCATCTTTCTCGGAGCCTCCTCTGTGTTCTTCTTCTTCATCTCTACACATTCTCCATCCTGCTGCTTCGCTCTGAAACAAACAGAAAGTGAGATGAAACATGTGTGACACGTCTGACCCTGGAGGCAGGATTCACCTCTAACAGCAAACAGGAGCTAACGTGCTGTTTGAGATCCATCTTTTGGCGAGCTGTGTGCTGCCCTGTCCTGATGAGCTGCCTGATCCATGAAGCTCAGGCTTCACCTTAAACAACAAAGCTGCAGCAGCTTCGCGTGGATCTTTGTCTTCTACTTTTCTGAAACATGATCCATCTTTGAAAAAGGTCGTTAGCGACGCTGCTTCTCTGCTCATTTTCATCTGAGTAAAATACACAGAGCTTCGATCAGATTATCAATATTACCTGAGAGGACGAGCAGAGTGCTGCTCGTGTTTCTCAGGATCCTCGACGTGGCTTCAGCTGCTGAGTCAGACTCACAGAGGAGGAGCTGCTGCTCTCGTTCCCTCCTTCTTTCCTCTCCATCATCATATCCAGGATACAGCACTGATCACAGGTCAGCCGAGTCTGTGCTTAAATGCTTTGGATAACGTTCACATCACTGCATCTGTTACACCTGAAGGTCTGATTGTTGATTCATTTGACTGATTTCACAGTTTCCTGACTCGACAGTCCAAACTG